AGATTTATGCGCAAAACTGGAATATGGCATAACACATTGGCGAATGAAGCAGCGCTTCACATCAATGAGAAATTAAAGAGAACTAAACCATCACTTTCTGATAAACTGGAGCAGATTGGGATTTGCCACTGTAGTGTTTTTACTTCTTTAATAAATAAGTTGCACCTCAGAAAATGAAGACGAAATGCAATGAGTGCGGTGAATGTGGTGGTTTTGGAGGCCTACAGATGCTCAAGACTGTTCTGGAGGGAATAATAATAGAATAATAAGACTACTGAAGCACTGTGATGACAGACTTACAGCCTTTTAATAGTCTGCAAAACAACATTTCAGATGTTCTACGTTATTTTGGAAGTGCTACGTTGTTCATTAAAGGGCACCTATGGTGAAAAATCTGCTTTTCAAGCTGATTTGTCAGAAATATGTGTAGGTATAATGTATAGACTGTCATATTGGGCTGTCATATAAACACACCCAGTCCTTTTTTTTTGTTCAATTTAACAACATAAAAACTGTGGACCAATTGGAGCGGTTTTGAGACCAAACGCAACTTGACGTGGGAGTGCGGTAACCCCCCCCCACACACACACTCATACACACACACACTTCCGTCAGATTTGTAGGCTGTCTTACTCACAAGCTTTTTCATCACTGCCCACAAATTTTCAATAGGATTGAGATCCGGGCTTTGTGATGGCCACTCCGAAACATTCACTCTGTTGTCCTTAAAGCACATATTGATTGACAGCTGTGATCACAGAAGTTCCGTCATCTCAACTAGGTGCGGCTGAAAAGTATGAGGCAGCTGCCTCGCGTGCGCGTCTCTCCTTTGGAAATAAGGAACTTGCCTTAGTTATAGCCTCAGTCAAAGTTAATCCAGTGTGCGTGGTTATTAGTCTCGGTGTATAAGCTCGGAACTTTAAACTAGCACACAGTTGACATAACTTTGTTTAGTTGCTGCAGTTTTGTTCCGTGCAGAAACAGGATGTTGAGAAGCCTTTTACAATTAATTAATTGACGAATTAAAGCACGGCTTATAGTAAAATAATGGTTTATAGTTGCATCCTTATATGGATGACACATACATCGTTACAAAGCGGCTGTAAAACTATACAAAGACACAAAAGATTTTGTAACACATTCTAGCACATTAGGAATATTGATTCCTCAACAGTCGTCTCTGCTTGGTCTGTGTCTGAGTCCAAGTCGTATATGCACGGCTGAATGCTGGTCCTCTCACTCATGTTGCTTCTCTCTGTTTGCCTGTTGCCATACACAAAGCAGGGGAGCTCTTGGCTCCGCCCCCTTTTTAAGTTAGCCGAAGGAAGCCGAAACTAATTTTCATGTGAAGCAACACACCCCTAAAACAACGACCTTTGTTCACACGCTCAACATGACACTTTTAAACACTGAACCTAAACTGGCACACTCAGAAGAACCAGAATATTATTATTAAATCTTAAAAAAGGGGTAAACTAGGTGCCCATCATACACATTTTTGTCACACACAATGTGTTTCTAATATAGTTTATCACATTTTTTCTTATCTAATAAAAAGTTTATCCTACTTTTATGTGCATCTTGGCATTTCCATTATGCAATATTACAAAAATCACATGAACATACAGTTGAAACCAGAAGTTTACATACACTTAAAAAAAGCAACATAACCATTTTTTTTTAATTGTCTGATGGTAAATTTTACTAAACGTTTACTATTTTAGATCTGTTAGGATTACTTAAATGTTTTACATTTGCTAAATGCCAGAATAAAGAGATAATGTTTTATTCGAGGTTTTTTTTTTTTATGAATTTCTAGACAGTCAAAAGTGTACACACATTTCCTTGGTATTTTTAGCTTTGCTTTTAAACTTTATATCTTTGGTCAGATGTTTTGAGTCTCCTTCCACAAGCTTCTCACAATAATTTGAAGGGATTTTGGCCCATTCCTCCTGACAGTATTGGTGTAACTGAGTCAGATTTGTTGGCTGTCTTGCTCTCACAAGCTTTTTCAACTCTGCCCACAAATTTTCTATAGGATTGAGATCAGGGCTTTGTGATGGCCACTCCAAAACATTCACTCTGTTGTCCTTAAAGCACATTTGAACTAATTTGGCAGCATGCTTAGGGTCATGGTCTGTTTGGAAGATCAAGCCAAGTTTTAATTTCCTGAGTTTTAATGTCTTGAGATGTTGCTTCAGTATTTCTACATAATGTTCTTTCTTCATGATGCCATCTATGCTGTGCAGTGGACCAGTCCCTCCTGCAGCAAAACAGCCCCACAACATGATGCTGCCGCCCCCATACTTCACAGTTGGGATGGTGTTACTAGGCTTGCAAGCTTTCCCCTTTGTCCTCCAAATGTAACACTGGTCATTATGGCCAAACAGTTCAATCTTAGCTCCATCAGAGCACAGCACATGTCTCTAAACATCAGTCTTTTCCCAGTGTAATTTAGCTAATTTTAATCTGGCTTTTTAGTTGATTCTGGCTTGTTGATTTTCCCATGTTGTCACACAAGGAAGCAGTGTGTTTGAGCTTTTACTCTACAGTTGTTGCTCCAATTAACTCAAATGTTGTCAATTAGCCAATCAGAAACTTCCAAAACCTTGACATCATCATCTGAGCTTTTTCAGAAGGAAGAAAAATCTATTGTATGTAAACTTGACTTTCAGGAAAAGTTAGAACAATTTCTCTAAAAATCTCTCTCTCATTAAGCAGAACAGAAACTAATGTGATAATCCTAAATTACCTAAAAGAGAAAAAGTTAAATCACATTAACATCTGACTTTTTTTTTAATGGTTATGTGTCTTTTTATACAGCGTATGTAAACTTCTGCTTGCAACCGTAGGTGGACGGAAACCGCTAGTGTGTGAGTGCTTGTTGTTTTTTTCCCATGCTCTCTTGAGCCAAGCCACTTCCTCTCGTCGGCCTCTTCCTCTGGATGAACTTTGCTGTGGAGCTGCTGCTCTTAAATCATGCAAACAACATCTGCTTCAGTGAGGCATTGTGGGTAATGCATCTGGCATTGCTGCGTCGTTAGTAGTTAGCAATTAGAAACTCCCCTAAAGGGGTTTTAAAAATCCCAGACATTTCTTACACATCAAATGCAACAAAATAATCTGATGATAGATGTCTTGCCAAATGTAAAACTGCATCTGAAGCAGTTAAACTGCATTAATGGCACTCCAGCTGAAGCTCCTAGTTGCTGGCAACATCATGTTGTGTGTCATTAATTCAGTTTAGTTACAGTTTAAACAAATCCACAAGCTCTGAATCAGCTGTTGTTTCCCCTCGGCACAGCTCACTCTACTTCATTCCTAATCTCTCTCTTAAGCATTTGCATGTTACCCAAACTTGATTCTTTATCTGATTGTTCTCTTCGCTCTGTCGGCCAGTGAGACGGGCTTCAGACGTCAGACTTGTTTAGACTTGCTTTGTTATGTTTTTAAGATCTCGTGAGGTCCTTTGAAACGTGCAGTATTGTTTAATGTGTGACGTAATGTCCATTGAAATATGAAAAGAGGGCGGGGCATATAGAAGCTCCGCCCCTTTAAAAGAGCATCCAGTAGCATTTGTTTATCACAGGACTGCTAGTGAGTGTGAGTTCAAGCACATCAAATTAACAGACGATGAGAAGTAGGGGCGGGGCTTGTCAGATACTAGAGAGCATTTGATTGGTCAGATGATTTAATGAGAGAATGGAGTATGAGGTGGCGTCAAAAAAAATCATTGATCCATTTGGCCGGAAGTGACTAACTGCAAGCTTTGAATGCTTATATCAGGGGTGCCCAAACTCGGTCCTGGAAGGCCGGTGTCCTGAGTTTAGCTCCAAATTGCTGCAACACACCTGCCAGGAAGTTTCTAGTATATCTAGTAAGGCTGCGTCTGAAACCGCCTACTACTCAGTAGGTACTGCATTTGAATTTAAACGTACTACTCAGCCGTTAGAAAAGTACGTTCTATACAGTATGAATGTGAAAAGTATGAATGGAATTTTGGCAAGGGGTAAAGATTGAGATAATGAAAATTATGCATGTAGATCTACCTTTTACTCCCCTATTTTTCTTGCTTGAAGGGATACCCCAGGATATATATATAATAAAAACCAGAGAGATATATACTACATATACTTTTACTAAGTGCAAGAAAGACCATAACAATAAATTGGATGAAGCCACACCCTCCAACAATTGTACAGTGGATAGAAAAACTTGAATGTATATATAGAGTGGAGTATATAACTGCCTAACTTCAACTAAAACTGGATATTTTTAAACAAAGATGGGGACCTGTTACATTGTATCTGAATAGGACATAGTATTTCTAGCTCCTTTGAAACTGAAAATATTGTATGTTTTTTTACTGTCGTTTTTTTCTCTTAATAATCGCTGCTGTCACTGAATGTTCTGTCTGTAAAATGTTTTATGTATAAAAATAAAGTAAAAAAAAAGAAAAGTATGAATGCAATTCGAACATACTACATCCACCATTTTGTCATGGTCACGTGACCTACCTGCGTCAATTGCGTCACTTTACTCCCATTCATAAATTCACTCGCGTGGCATCATGTGATAGGGATGCGCATGGGATGCGCACTCTAGAATCTCGCTGGAAGTAGTAAGTCATCCGGGTACTTCTCGCATACTGACTTTCGAATTCTATGAATTTGGACATACTACTCGGCTCGCATACTGATTTTAGCATACTATATAGTATGGAAGTATGCGGTTTCGGACGCAGCCTAAAAGCTTGATTAGCTGGTTCAGGTGTGTTTGATTAGGGTTGGAGCTAAACTCTCCTGGACACCGGCCCTCCAGGACCGAGTTTGGACACCCCTGATTTATATCTTCTGAATGTGAATTTGGTTTTGGAGCACGTGGGTTTTGGATAACCTTACAACTAACATACTGATACTGACATCTAAAAAACTTTATTTGGATTTTGTGGGTACTTTACATCAGTCGGTAAATCAATGTGTTGTGTCTCTTGTTTTCAGGTCAGCCATAGCCGTCTGATAGCAGTAAACTCCAAGTGGTTCCTGATTACTGCTGAGACGGACCTCCAGGACTAGGACAAGATGAAACCGGATGGTGTTGACACGGCATCAATGGAGCCAATGGAAGCATTAAATGCAGGTCCTGCGATTGAGGTGGCGCCAGTCGGGGAAGCTCAGGACCAGGCTTTGCCTGCAACAGAGGCTGAACCACAACCAACAGCGCCACTTTCCGCAACCAACAAGACTGGAAAGGAGAAGCCTACGGATCCAAAAGCTAAGACGAAGGCTCCTGCCAAAACAAAGACACCCATTGCTGGTACCAAGGCATCTACTACCAGCTCCCGTCCCCCCACTGGCCAAAGCCGCCTGACAAATGGGGCACAGAAGTCGCAAGCAAACGGCGTCACCAAAAAGACCACCACGGGAAGCCTGGATAAGAAAACCTCAACCACTGCTGGCCCTAAAAAACCAGTTGGCTCTGCTACTGCGCCCACAGCCAAGACCCCTACCAAGGTGGCAGAGAAGAAGCCACTGGGGACGGCGAGACCTGCCAGCGCTCCATCCAATGGTGTGAAGACAACGGGGACAGCACAGCCTATCAAGAAAGCCCCTGCTGCTCCGGCCAATGGTCTGAAGCCCAAACCAAAAACTACAGGTGAGGCACAATAATCATGAGCTGAGCTTGGATGTAGGTCAGGGGTATCCTACTATTAAAGTTTAAAGCTGCAGGCGTGTAGACTTTTGTTCTAGTTCTCCTACAACACAGAGAGCTGTAATGTGTAAGTGAACCCTGAATATACTTTTTAGCTGGTTCAAGTGTAGTTAATTGGGGTTAGAGCTGAAGACAGTACACTCTCAGAAATAAAGGTAGAAACTCTGTCCCTGGGGTGGTAGCTTCTCAAAAGGTACACTTTTGTACCATGCAGGTCCAAGTTTGTATCTTTTAAGGTAAATATTAATACCTACAGGTACCTTTAAAGTACCATTGTGCACCTGTAAGATAGTTAAGTGTAGTTTTTGTAGCTTTATCTCTAAGAGTGTAGGGCTAGACCTGAAATCAGCCCCTATACCCTTAGACTATTTTAGGAAGCAGCTATTTCTAGTGATGGATATTCTGAAGTGCCCACAATCAATCCCACAATGCACTGCAATAACAAGTGCACAACCAATGTACACTCAATGGCTAGAGAATACCGATAATGCACTGTATATCTGCATGGAAATGAGATGGCTTCCACATCAGACTCCTAGATTTAAGTTTCGGTCTAAATAAAGTATTGCTTAATTGTTGAATTAACGTTTAAAACGTTCAAGCTTGCCAAATGTTAAATATCACAGGGTCTGAGATAAGATGTTGAAAATGTAATCCTTCTAAGGCAGGGCTGCCCAAACTTTTTCATATGAAGGGCCAAAAACCTAATATCATGAAGAGTTGTGGGCCGAAGGTAAATATACTGAACTATATTACATTGAAGTTGCCATGGGTCATTTTCTAATTTATTTTATTAAATGGAAAACATTACTTTAAATTGTATTATCTAATGCATTTAAAATGAGAACTCATTGCAAAAAAACTTAAACAATCATATTTATAACACAGTGGAGTTCAGGGCTGAATACACTAGTCAAGCAGAATCTGCCTTTGATTTGATCTGCTCACCAAAGTCTCTGCATTGTTGGGTGACAGTATGTACATTTAAACAAAATCTGATTCATTTATTTAAACGAAACATTTAATTTCAGTTAACAATAAAACAAACAAAACGAAGGTTTACATTAAATTTGAACTGACAATCTCGAAACCATCCCCATCATTCTCCATCTCTTCTCAGATGGGATGGCAGACCAAATCAAAGGTTACAATGGGCCAACTTTGGCCCACGGGCCCTAGTTTGGGCATCTCTGGTGTAAGAGATTCATCAACCAGCACTACACAAACAAAATGTGCACTTAGGACTCTGATTCACTGTTTTCATTCACTCCTTAAAGTGGGATATGCTAGTACGCTAATGTAGGAAATGGAGGTATATGGGGCGATTTTTAAATACAGCCCATCTCTCCAAGAGGGTTTGATACCCCTTTGTTAAGTATTTATTATTTTATAGCACATTATCCAATTATGGAAATAAATGTCGTATTTGTTTAATGCTCATAAACATGTTATCGTTACGCTTCGTTCTAGCTCCAGCTCCAAGACCCGCTACTGCATCCACCACCAAGAGCAGCACCACTGACGCTCCCAAACCATCTGTTGCCAAGACAGCCAGGTAAGAGTTTCATTGGCTTGGAATGACTACATGAAATTTTGGCAATTAAAATAACATAATGTGCCCCAGGTGACACAGTGGTTAGCACTGACACCTCACAGCAAGAAGTTCACTGGTTCGAGTCCCAGCTAGGTATGTTGACATTTCTGTGTGGAGTTTGCATGTTATCTCCGTGTTGGCATGGGTTTCCTCTGGGTGCTCCGGTTACCCCCGCAGTCCAAACACATGCGGTAGGTGAATTGAATAAACTAATTTGGCTGTGGTGTATGGGTGTTTCCCAGTACTAGGTTGCAGCTGCAAGGGCATCCGCTGTTTAAAACATATGCTGGATATGTTGGCTTCATTCCACTATGGCGACCCCTGATTAATGAAGGGACTAAGCCAGGGGTGTCAAACTCAATTCCTGGAGGGCCGAAGCCCTGCACAGTTTAGTTCTAACCCTGCTCCAACACACTTACCTGTAGGTTTCAAACAAGCCTGAAGGACTCAATTAGTTTGATCAGGTGGGTTTAATTAGGGTTGGAACTAAACTGTGCAGAGCTGCGGCCCTTTTGGAACTGAGTTTGACACCTGTGGACTAAGCCAAAGGATAATGAAAAAATTAATAATGTGGATGTTTCCCAGGGATGGGTTGCAGCTGGAAGGGCATCCACTGATAATTTGGCGGTTCATGCTGCTGTGGCGACCCCAGATTAATAAAGAGAAAAGGCGAAAATAAAATAAATGAATGAATATTGTGGCTCATAACTCACTGGACTCCATCTCAGGGGCCACCTAGATGCCAAAACAACATCAAAAATGCATCGATTTGATGTCAAAACCTTGACATTCTGTTGAGATCCACACATTGATGCCCTTTTAATCATCAAAACAACGACACAAAAAGTATTATACAAAATGTTTTATTCATCTGAACACTTCAATTACAAATTACCTTGAATTTTGCATCCATTCAATGCATTTAAACTACCTTCATGTCAAAATGACATCAAGTTAACGTCAAAAATTGGTCAAAATCGATTGCTGAGCTAATCTGTAATCGTTTTTTGATGCCATTGTTAGATGTCAATTTGATGTTGTTTTGAAATCAAGGTAGTCAATTGACATCAAATTGATTAGCATTTTTTCCCTTTATTCATCTGGGGTCGCCAGAGCAGAATGAAATGCCAACTTATTCAGCATGTGTTTTATACAGCGCATGCCCTTCCAGCCGCAACCCAGTACTGGGAAACACCCACACACTCTCATTCACACACATACACTACAGCCAATTTAATTTATTCACTTCACCTATAGCACATTTTTTGAAGGTGTTTTGACATCAAGATGCCTGCTAGGATGTCCTTTGCAGGCAATCATTGATTATTCAAAGCATTAGGTATACATTCTAAGGGTGCTTTCACACCTGTGAATCGATTCAGTTGTTCTGAAACAGAGATTACAAATGTAACATTGTTGCTCTTTGCTCTTGGTGCGGTTCACTTTCACACTGCAAAGTTTCTAAACGGACCAAAAGAGCTTAAACAAGTCACGTGTGAGTAAACTCTCCTTACATTGGTCAGAGTTTCAGGGTTTATTGTCCCGCTCAGCTGTTAGGGGTGGTGGTGGTTTGGTGGTGTTTGACAGGGCGCATGTGACGTGTCTGAAGAGTGAGGAGGGATGCGGTGGGAAGGGTGTGCGATGTATTTGAGGACCGGGAGAGAGACGCGCGATTTCCGGGAAATTATCACTCGTTTGCGGGAGACTCAGTGCATTTGTGGGAGACTCCTGAAACCTCCAGGAGACTTGGGATGTCTGGAATGACCTCCCGCCCTACTCATAATTCTCTCTTCATATAGCCGTATGCCTGTTACATATCCATAAAACACTGTGATATAACCGCGCTCAGATCGTATGGCTTTCTTGCTACAATCGATCCACACCAGAGTTCATTTGAATCGAGCCGAGACCACCTCAATCAAGCGATCTCGGAGCAATTGTTTTGGCGTGGATGCGAGCGCGATTGGTGGTTTCACATATGCCAAACGAACCGCGCTAACAGGGCAAACGAGACCGGTTCCCAAACAAAAGTCTTTTGTGAAAGCACCCTAAGTCTAATACTTGGGAAATAAACTAGCGCAATCCTTAAGATCTGGAGAACTCCCCTGCTGTAGTAGCTAATGGACAAATAGTGATTGCTCTTAAGAAAGAACTACTTACTAGGAGCATGTGCCAATTTGGATGAGTCAATTAACTTAAGTTGCATGTTTTTGGACGGTGGGAGGAAACAGGGAAACCCGGAAGAAACCCACATGAGGACGGGAAGAACGTGTAAACTCCGCACAGAAATGTCGGCTGGCTTGGTAAGAACTAGAACCAGTGACGTTCTTGCTGTGAGGTAACAGTGCTAACCACTGGGCCACCGTGCCACCCATGTAGGAAAGGAGGAGGAGTTGGGGTGGAAGGGGAGATTCTTCAAAATGAAGTTCAGAGTATTTATAGTAGCTTAGAAATCGTCTGATTGGTGAATCACAAATTGATTAATGCGGGGCTGGCTGCAAGCAATCATAAGCACGTGATCCTCCCGACATTAGTTTATAAATTAAATTTAACAATGCATAGCAGGAACTCACTTTCCAAATGAGACCCTCGCATTGGGAACATTTAAGCTCTTTTCAATGGGAAAGACTTTCTAGTCTCCCCAGTGGTTCTAAAACACTCTCATTTGGGAAAGATTTGGACCCCCCCACCCCCCAATGGGACATCTAGATGAGCAGTCTAACCAGCACCCGCAGTAGTTTCACACAGATGTAAAGCAGCTCTCCTGATATGTAGGACAGATACAGAGCGATGGTAGGATGGTTATGGCGATCTGAATCACGCTGCGAATCACAACATGCTGCTCACAGGAGCCCGCAGATAGCCATGAACAGAGTTTTTTTTGTTGTTGCTTGTTTACAGACGCGACGAGGGACATCCTGAGGCCTGCAACAGAGCTCATGACGTTATGTGTGGGTGGATGGGAAAAAAATGTGTGTGTGACTTGGTGAATGTTGTTCCTAGCAGCTCCTAAAATAAAGTAGTAACTTCAAACCATGAAGAGTAAACCTGCTGAACATGACAGCTGCATAAATTGGACGTTTTTAAAATTCGATCCAAGAGTTTTGCCATGACATGTTGCCTCTCCTCCTACATTACACAGTTTAGCGCATGATTAATGGTGTTTAGAGTAGGAAGGCTGCCGTCCCACACACAGACTGCTTGAAAAGGAAAGACAATTTACAGTGTTAGCGCTGCGGTGTGTGTTCCAGCTCTGGGTTTAGGGAAGATAATCTGGGGGATTCACCCTGAGCCTTTGTTTTCAGCCTCGGCCTCATTATGACCGTAAGCTCAAACACAAAACAGCAGTGAAAAGGCCGCCGGTTGTCCAATTAGCGCAGGAGTGTGTGTTTTCCTCCTTATTTTCACCCGGTGGGCATCTTCGATCTGACATGTATTTAATTCTGCCTCGGGCCCAAGAAGACAACTCACACTGGGTTTACCCTGAGAGCAGATCTGCACGGTGAAGTAAAACACTTCTGAAGAGTTATCTATGCAGTGACTTTGACATTCGCTTTACCGTCCAGAAATATTGCTTTCCAGCGCTCTCAGCAGTGGAGGTTGTACTACATCTACTGAACAGGGCTGTAAATAAATTATACGTGCCGTTGGCATTAATGGTGTGTGTGTGTTTGCCACCTGAAGCTTTGACTTTGCTCTATAAAATATGCAAGGCCGCATTTTTTTACTAGCAGCACCACAGAAAACTGCTAATCTTTCACCTTTTTCCACATTATATTCCCATCTGTCAAATATACAAATGGCCCTGATGCTTTCAGGCTGCTAAAATAGAGTTATATCTTAAAAGTGCAACTATATTTACACTTTCTAGTCTTGGATTGTACAGTTGCAGGTTTTTTTATTTAGAACATCATTCAGTTTATCAGATGGAGCTCTAGGCTAGTTTTTAAACAGTAGACGGCGCTCTAGGCTAGTTTTTAAACAGTAGACGGCGCTCTATGCTAGTTTTTAAACAGAAGATGGCGCTCTATGCTAGTTTTTAAACAGCATATGGCGCTCTAGGCTAGTTTTTAAACAGCAGTCAGCGCTCTAGGCTAGTTTTTAAACAGCAGACGGCACTTGAGGCTAGTTTTTAAACAGCAGACAGCACTCTAGACTAGTTTTTAAACAGCAGACGGCACTCTAGACTAGTTTTTAAACAGCAGACGGCACTCTAGGCTAGTTTTTAAACAGCAGATGGCGCTCTAGACTAGTTTTTAAACAGTAGACGGCGCTCTAGGCTAGTTTTTAAACAGTAGACGGCGCTCTATGCTAGTTTTTAAACAGAAGATGGCGCTCTATGCTAGTTTTTAAACAGCATATGGCGCTCTAGGCTATTTTTTAAACAATAGTCAGCGCTCTTGGTTAGTTTTTTAACAGCAGTCAGCGCTCTAGGCTAGTTTTTAAACAGCAGACGGCGCTCTAGGCTAGTTTTTAAACAGCAGACGGCACTCTAGGCTAGGTTTTAAACATCAGAAGGTGCTCTAGACTAGTTTTTAAACAGGAGATGGTGCTCTAGGCTAGTTTTAAACAGTAGACGGCGCTCTAGTCTAGTTTTTAAACAGGAGATGGTGCTCTAGGCTAGTTTTTTAACATCAGACGACGCTCTGGGCTAGTTTTTAAACAGCAAATGGCACTCTAGGCTAGTTTTTAAACAGGAGATGGTGCTCTAGGCTAGTTTTAAACAGTAGACGGCGCTTTAGTCTAGTTTTTAAACAGGAGATGGTGCTCTAGGCTAGTTTTTAAACGGCAGTCAGCGCTCTAGGCTAGTTTTAAACAGCAGATGACACTCTAGTCTAGGTTTTAAACATCAGACTGTGCTCTAGGCTATTTTTTAAACATCAGACGATGCTCTGGGCTAGTTTTTAAACAGCAAATGGCGCTCTAGGCTAGTTTTTAAACAGGAGATGGTTCTCTAGGCT